ATATGCTAACGAATCAGTTATAATCCTTTAAAAAAACTCACTATTTATATTTTAGAATATTCACTTTCAAAGGAACTGTTTCTTACAAGAACTGGAAAAAAACAGTCATTAAGGACTCTGAAAATTCTAAAATTGGTACATTCCTGATCACAAGCTCTAGAAATTGAGTTAGCATGTGTTTGAAAGCAAACTTTGTTTCAGAAACACCATTTGTTTTTAGAAAATCTAATTTTACTCTATTGATGATTTTTGCACCAGATTAAGTATATTTCCAAAATCAGGAACCCTTTCTCTGGAAAGCACTCTCAAGATACTTTATAAAAGCTTAGTGTAAATGTAGATATTTCAAGGTGAATCTTGAAATCCTAACATACTAAAATAAAACATCTCATACTTCAAAGGGCTGAAATGTAATTACAGATGTTATGGAGGAAAAAAAAGTGAAATAGCAAAAAAAGAAGTGTACTGGCTGTGTGATACTGCAAAAAAACAAAACAAAACAAAACAAAAACAACATCAGTGCAACCTCTTTTAAACCAAATGTTCCAGATGCTGCTTATGTCCAGATTCTCTCTCAGGAGAAGAAAAGCATGGAGCATTTCATCCTGCAAGCTTCTTATTATTTATTTCTTAGAGACACAGGGTAGTGAGGTAACAATGCTTTTTCCATTTTAAATCTAAGATAAAAAGTTTTCCTGAAAACTAGATCAAATCTGCCCTAATGTTCTTCATCAGCTTACCTTTGGCATGATGAGTTCACTTCTGAGCATTGCATACTTTGTTTATACATGTGGAGAGAAAAACAAACATAGGGCTTGGGAAAACAAATGAAGGTAACAGAAAATTTTTCCCAATAATTTTGTATTCTTTCAAAAACCTAAATTTCATGAACTAGTAAAGAATGTGAAGATATTTATATTTCTTCAAAATCTACATTCTGTATTATATAATGTCCTAATCCAACTTGGAAAATGGATTCATATGCATATTATAAGAGTATTTAGAACAGACTGCTGGATTAAAATGTCTGTAAGACAAAGGTACTTGAACTGGCCTTACATTAAATTCAAAGCCGCTGATTGAATAAATTTAATTGTAATAAGAATTTAATTCTAAATTCACTTATATAGTAAAACTGTTCCAACTACCACCTTAATGTTAATACTTATAAAACCAAAGAAATCCGGTACAAAAATAAAGTTCTTACATAAGATGGCTGATTTTATATTTGAATTCCTGACTCAGAGTGCCCTCTATTGGAAGAAAAGAGGCAGTAAAAGTTACACTGACCTAAGAGCAAAAATACTCCCCAAATTCAAGTCACACCACTAGTACGTAAACACATTTGTGAATAACGGGAATGCTACAAAACATGTTTTACTTTCATTTTATCTCATCTGAAATACTTCTGGAATTATTTTTCATATTACAATGAACAAGCCAGATATTTAGTACCGTCTTAAACACTGTGAACTTGGAAAGTCATTATAGCTCTCTGTGTTACCACTTTCTCATCTATAAAATGGGAAGAATACTACTATCTCAGTAGTATTTTGAGTTCTCAATAAGTGGTAGGAATTATATTTACTTATACAACTTTATTTTCAAGTATTTTCAAAAACCAATTCTCATAGTAAACCGTTCTCTTCAAACTATATGCTAATTCTTTCCTCTATGCTTTTCAATACTTTGTCTTTTAGGCTGAAACCTCTCATTCATTCCAACACAGGTATAAGGCACATCTCTCCTTCCTCCAGGACTCCATTTTAGTCCCTCCTTACCCATAAATGTAGCTTTCAATGTATACCTATAAATCTTCACTTATCTCTCTCCCTTTTAAAAAAAAAATTTCCTTTGGCCACAGGATACCTTACAATAAGAAATATAGCTGGGAATTTAAAAATTGACTCTGATTTTAATCCTCATATGCCACTTACAATATGAGTCATTTCCTAAATCTATAACTTCACTGTTAGGATTGCTTAATAGGGCCTAAATTATATACAGCACTAGAATAGGAAATACCTAGTACCCACTAAATGTCAAATGGTAATATATATTTGTTTTATATGTTGGTTTTAACTGTATTGAAGGCTCTGTGAGACAGGCATTTTGAAATCAAGAACCATATTTCATTTTGATCTTAGAAATCTATAACTCCAAACACAGTAATAACCATCTATATTAGGTGATTCATTAAGCTTCCTGCATAATTTGAGAGGATAATTCAAAACAATATTCCAGAAACACATTTTTGATGAATGGAAATAAATATATACAACTAAACAGGGAATAAAAACAAACAACACAGGTTATAGGGAAGGGCCAATGTAATTGGATTACTTTCTAAACATTCAATAACAAGTTTCTAAAATATTCATCTTCTGAAAAGCCAGTTCCATTGATGTCTTTTATCTACCCAAAATCCCTTAGATTTTTCTCATTTCCTAAAAAATAAATACCAAAATTCTTAGCCTGACATTCAAAATTATCTATGACCTAACCTTACCTAGCCTTCAGATCTTATCTTTCATCTTTCCCCTTTCTAAATTCTACTACTCCAAATAAATAAATACTAGCTGTTAATAACATATATATTATCTGCTTTTCTGCCTTGGGTGACTTTTAATGTTTTCTATGATAACAGTTGCAAAAGCACTATAGGTTGTCATAGGAACAAAGAAAGGGTAGTGTAGGAACATATGGGTTCAAATTTCAAGGAGTTAAATTCAATTTATAAACAATCTCTCTCTTGCCACTATCACGATACAGTCTTCTGCTTATTTAAAAAAGAAAAAGCCAGAAAAGATTTTGGCCATCTCTTCCCCAAACTATCACCCTCTCATTATCAAAAGATCCTCCTATCACCTCCTAAAAGTTTCTATCATGGTCTCCAAACAGAATGCACAGACCACAGAGAACATAAAATACTGATTAAAAGAAAAAAATTACAGCTTCTATTCTTCTATTCCTTGCCTTCCTCATTTTGAATTTACTGAATAATAAATATCTCATAATTCACACCACATATTGTTAGGATAGTAATAGGTACACATAATTTGTAAACAAATACATTAGGGATGCGCACTCAAAATTTCTTTACTAAGGGTATATACAAAAAGAAAGGTTTAGAAACCACTGGTCTAAAAAATTAGGATTTTTGGAATAGCTTGAAAAGTTTTTGTAAGTTTAGGAATAGAGAGCAAGAAGATACCAGTTTAGAGAAATATTTAGAGAATGAGAGTCTGAATATAACAGATATAAAATATCTAATATATTAACAGATATAAAAATTCAAGCATCATGCATCAGTTTTGCAGGACAAATGTGTTTTAAATTCTAAGTAATAAATATGTTTTAATTTATAAGTGACTTTCAAAAAATGCTAAAATGCAACTGATTTGTAATTTCAAGATAGATATCATCTATTTTAGATTTCAAATGGAATCTTGTCTAACATCATAAGCATTTCATTAATATAAAATTTTTATTTTGTAAAACCTGTAAGTATTCATGTAAAAATTACTTTTTAAATATTCATAAATAATTTGGCGGAGTGGTTAATAATATGATGTCTTACAAAATACAGTGCAGAAAAAAAAAGGAAACCAAAAAAAAAGCAGGCATAGGAGGTAAGTTTAGCCATGGAACTAGATTAGCAAATGTATTCAGGGAAACAGTGTCATAACTTATTTAAGTAACTACATGAAATAAATGTTCTCAAAATAGATATGGATAGGAGTTGGGGCTGTAGCTCAGCGATAAGGCACTTGCCTGGCATGTGTGAGGCACTGGGTTCGATTCTCAGCACCCCATTTAAATAAATGAAATAAAGGTCTTTGAACAACTAAAAAAAATTTATATATATATATATATATATATATATATATGGATAGTCATTATGCTTCATAGTCTTTTAGTTTTCACAAATAATATGACATACTTAACACAGTCTATTATTGGCTTTTGTGTAAAGTATAAAGTTTCTCTAAAGTTCTAAAAGTGAGTAAATGGTTTATATCATAATAATGTATTTTCTTTACTACCAGTAGATACTATCAATCCTTCTTCTATAGGACAAAAGTAGATTTATAAATCTTAATTTTAAGTTTATTGATTCTCTACAGTTTTGCTTGTTATTATGTGTATATAAAAATCCATCATGAAGGCTGGGGATGTAGTTCAGTGGTAGAGCACTTGGCTAGCACATGAGAGGCACTGGGTTTGATTCTTAGCACCACATAAAAATGAATAAATTAAATAAAGGCATTGTGTTCATCTACAACTAAAAAAAATTTTAAATCCATAATGAGGGCTGGGATTGTGGCTCAGCAGTAGAGCAGGCGCTCACCTTGCATGTGCGAGACCTTGGGTTCGATCCTCAGCACCACATAAAAATAAATAAATAAAACAAAGATATTGTGTTCAACTACATCTAAAAAATAAATATTTAAAAAATCCATAATAAACAAGAATCTCTAACTCATACTTTAGATTCTGAGCTCATAAGGGAGAATCCCCTTGGGATTTGCAGATTTTTTAAATATACAGATTCAACTTTCTTTCTCCTACTATGACTTAAGGAGTGACTGAGGAGCTAGACACATAGCTTGGCTCCCTCAATCTTTTTGAAGAGGGATTAGACTTTTTTTATAGATAAAATGGGGAAGATTGACAAAGGGAATTTTCTTTGGGACCCAATAAAATTATGCTCAATAAAACTAAATGAACATAACTAAAGAAATTATGACTCCAAGTATTATGAGAGTCTGACAATAGAGAGACCATCACAAATTATAAGTTATACATCAAAGCATTTCTTCCACTGCACATTCAACGAGCATAGAACCTCAATGAAAATTAGAGAAAGACAAAGAAAGACTGGCATTCAATAGTGGAGGAATCTGATAATCTAACAATGACCAAATCCCATGCCATTTACGTGTACATACAGAACTACCAAGGACAAACACTTTGTCTTCATTTCCCCTCTTACTTACTACACTCTGGCTTCCATTTTTCCCAAGTTCTTCCTCTGAAATCTTGCTCAAGTTATCTAAGTAGTGATCTGATATTGTATGGCACAAATCTTCAAAAGAATAATCCTTTTCTTGACAGAGCTTTATTTCATCCAAGAGTTTTGATAGTTCTCCAGTCACAGTTTCACCTATAAAAAGACAGTAATTTTATCAGATTTCAACAAAGATTACTGCTGAAACTTAACATTAAATAATAAAAATCTGAAAACTCAAAATATGATAAATGAGAATAAGTAGAAGGTATTAAACTATAACACAAGAATATTAACAAACAAGAGATTCCAATTTTGCCTGTATTTATTCTTTCTCAAATAGAAACAAGACTTGAAAGTTTACATAGTTGTAATACATAAAACACCTGGAATTATAATTCCTATAGCTTTATTTATTATAGGAATTAATTTTTCAGTAATCTTTTACTGGCACTTTACCTCACTGACAGAATCATCTGATGATTTATTAACAAATTTGAAATTGTACTGAGAGCCTACTTCCTAGCTTCAATAAACATAAATAGAACTTTAAACAAAAAAATTAGAAAAGTAGAGAATCATAACTTAAAAATGATATAAAGAGAAAACACAGAAGGAACAAATAACTAATACATATAACCTGCCAAACATGAATATTTCATAGGTTATATGCAAATATTAACTTTTCTTAGCAGTCTCAGAAAAGTAAATATTCCTCTAATTATTCTGAAAAACATTTCAAGCATTTATACTATAGATCTTATTATTTTTATTCTGAAATAAAAATATATTTAAGATCAGTTGACCATAGATGTATGGGTTTATTTCTGGGTTTTTAAATTGTTTCATTGGTCTGTGTCTATTTTTATGCCAGTACTATGCTATTTTTATTACTACAGCTCTTCAACAAGTGTACCAAGAACTGAAAATACAAAAAAAATGGTCTCTTTAATAAATAGTGTTTAAAAATGGAATATATATATATATGTGTGTGTGTGTGTGTGTGTGTGTATCTCACATAAAATTGTACCCTTATCTTACACCATATACAAAAATCAACTAAAATAAATTAAATGTGGAAATTGAAACCACAAAACTCTCAGAAGAAAACACAGAGTAAAAGCTTCTTGACATTAATCTGAACTATGATTTCTATTTTTGATACAATAGCAAAATTATAGATAACAAAATCAAAAATAGACAAGTAGGACTGAATCAACCTAAAAAGTATTTGTACAGCAAAGGAAACAACCAGTGAAGTAAAAGGGCAACCTAAGAAACAGAAGAAAATATGTGCAAATCACAGATCTGATCGGGATTAATATCCAAAATGTATAAGGAACTCAAACGTCTCAATAGGAAAATATCAAAAACTTGAATAAAAACTGAGCTAAGGTCCTGAAAAATCATTTCTCCAAAAAAGACATGCAAATGTGTCAACAGGTATAAGAGAAGGTATTCAACATAATTAATCATCAGGGAAATGTGAATCAAAACCATCTTTCTTATCAAAAAAGATAAAATGAATGTTGGTAAGACTGTGGAGAAAGTAGTGGAAATGCAAAATTGTATTGCTATAATCAAAAATTATATGGTTCATTGTAGGGCATGGCTGCCTGCTTCCTTGTCTTGAGGCCGCACATGTGGCTGGAAGGGCTCCTGGCAATCAGCCAGGAGGAGGTGCTGTGGGCGGTGATGGAGGAGGCTGACCATCTCCAGGATAGGTCCAGGACTCTTCCGCCCTCGTGGACAGCTTGCTCATGCCTTCCCTTACAGACTATGGAATGGGTGTACACATGAACTTGCTCCACCGCTCTGACCTTTATTCTGATTGGCTCCTGTGCAGTATATAAGCTGTGTGTACTTCCTTATTAAAGGAGATCCTGCTTTGACTGTTCTCCCTGGCACGTCTGATTGTCCTCCCAGGAGGGAAGGAGGGAGGGCTGGGTGTGGGCGGCCAGTGGACCTTTACCTTTCTTGGCTTATCTTGGTCAGGGTGTGCTTTTCCCGCTTCTCCTGCTGGTCAGGAGGGGAGGGCTAAAAACCCCGACAGTTCATCAAAAATTTTAAAATAGAACTACCAGTGATCCCACTTGTAGGTATTTATTCAAAGCAAATATAATAATAACTTTAAAAGAGATATGTGTGCTCCCATGTTCACTGCAGCATTATTTAGAATAGCCAAGATATGGAAACAACCTAAGTGTTTTATTGTTAAATGAACTGATAAAGAATATATTCTGTGTGTGTGTGTGTGTGTGTGTGTGTGTGTGCGCGCGCGTGCACGTTTGCACCTAATACTGTCCATATTGTAATCCAGTGTCCTTCACTCTTAAAAGAAGGACATCCTATCGTTTAGGACAATATGGATAAAACTGGAGGACATTTTGCTGAGTGAAGTAAGGCAGACACAGGAAGACAAATACTGTATGATCTCAATTATATGTAGAATCTAAAAATGTCTAACTCATAAATGCAAAGAGTAGAAAGGTGGTTGCCAAGGGATGGAGGGTGGAGATAATGGAGAGAGACTTATTGAAGGGTTAAAAATTTAGATAACAGAAGAATGAAAAAATTCTGGAGATTTAATGTATAGCATGGTGACTATAGTTACTAATATTATATTATATACCTGGGATTTCCTAAGTAAGTGTTCTCACCACTTTAAAAAAATTAACTATGTGAAGAGATAAATTTGTTAATTAGCTTTATTGTAATAATTAATTCATAATGTATTACATATACAACATTGTGTTGTATGCTGTAAACATAAACATAATTTGTTAAGTAAACCTCAATAAATCTAGGAAAAAAACACATCTATTTTAAAAAGCTATAAAATATTACTTCATATGAACTTCATTACAGCAGGGGCTGCAATATGCTTTGCCCACTGCTGTATGTCAGGTCTGCAAATGGTCCCCAGTGAGTAGTAGGGACTGTATAAATTTTGACTGAATAAATGTATAAAATCTAGAGAATAGGATATGACTTATATGAGGTTTTCACAACTGATAGCCTTCTTATGCATACGTGACAAATTTGGACATACAAGTGTAATATAGTTTCCAGGCTTTGTAATTAGATACTCACTTTTGGTCTTTTGGGAAGGAGATTCAACAGGAGATGAAATGTGGGTTTCTTGTGTTGTATCTTCCTGTACATGCTCTTCAAGGGCTGTTGCTCTTCCCATGCCTTCTAAATATTCTGTGTATATATGTATTTGAGATTACACACTTGAATTCATTTATGTTAAAAAGTAAATTCATTTATGTCAAAAAGTAAACTTTTTTTTTACTTCTCATGATCCATTTTCCATTTATTTCCTCATATCTTAAGTATATCTTAAGTTTTCAAAGAACTTCAAAAAAACCATAAGAACTTCGTGATGTGTCATTAATTTGAGATCTTTAAATACAAAAGATACTTTGGGAAAAACTCATGAACGCTTTATTTTGAAAACTAAACTTATCCCATTATTTTCTTAAAATATATCTAAGGCTGGGGATATATAGCCCAATGGCAGAATACTTACCTAGAAAGCATGAGGCCCTGGGTCAATCTCCAGTACCACACCAAATAAATAAATAAATAGAAAAATAAGTAAATATAAGTAAATCTAGATGGATTTAATTTAAACTAGGATGTAATAGAATCCTAGTTTCCTTAATTTTTTTCAATCTGAAGGTTTAAAGCTCTCTGAAAGATACTTTGAATAGACCTGACTATTCAAACATTTCTGTTCACCTCTATTGAACAGAGATGTTCAATTCAGATGAATTCAATCACCTATCAGGTAATGTGAATGAAATTGGGTAAGTTTATTTTATAATAGTGTTATAATCTTTCAAGGTAGGCACAATTTGCATATTTAATTTTACTTCCACAAAGTAAATTCATTCCTATTATTCTTGGAGTTATGTCCCACACTCATTTTTACTTTTTTTTTTTAGTATTTTCGGTTGTCAATGGACCTTTGTTTTTTATATGCGGTGCTGAGAATCAAACTCTATGCCTCACACATAATAAGCAAGCACTCTACCATGGAGCTACTACCCCAGCTCCATCATTTTTCCTTTTTTGATAGCCATAATAATAATAATAGCAGTTAAAACATAAATATTGCTTACTATGCACACAATATTTGATACACTTAGAATCAAAGGACAATTCTACTGGACAAATTCTACTGGAAAAGAAAGCAACCTCTGGAATTCTATCTTCAAAATTTCTGAATAATGTGGCAATTACGTAAACTGAATGACAATTTTGTAAGGTAGTAACTTTATCCATAAATTTTACTAAAAATTGGCTTTATTTTGATATCAAATTCTTTCATTAGATTTAAAATACAGCAGTGATGTGAAATCAAGGAATGTAAAATATATAATATGTTTACATTCTGAAATTTGCCAACAATTTGAAAAATTTTAAGGGTGTCTCATATCCCTATTACAAACTCACATATCTAATGACCCTTCACCATTTAAGGGAGCAGAGATAAGTTACTCCTATATATAATAACATACTCATGAGCCAGTGCAGTATGTTAAAAAATGTGTAAAATTATGTCATGACCTCTTTTTAGTGGGAGACATGTATTTTACTTCTCCCAAAGGGCACAAGGCTCAATTTTGATGTTTTGTTATATACAAGCTTCAGGTTTTTTGTGTTCTTAAGTTCAGCTAGATGCAACACAAGTGCCTACAGGAGAAAGGGGATAAAAATTATGTGTACCACTTTTATTTTTTAGTTTTCATTCAACTTGATTTTAGCTTGAATTTATATGAAAAGTCATACTTGGATTCTCTGATTCATCTCTGTATGTATTTGACTTGCAATTAACTTCTTTATTGACAAGAAAATTGTAGGGACTTAAACTTCCATGAAAGGTTTTGGAAATAGAAACAGACTATAATGATCATTTGTTCTTTATACCCCTCTTTGGCCTTTGTTGACTCCTGTTTTTACATGTCCCCTGTCCTAGTTGGTTTTAAATCATTTATCTTGCTGCAAGGATAAAGGTTGTTAAGTTTCCCAATAGACTTCCAGTGAAACCTACTCCTCCTCATTCCTGTTATACACTGTTGAACAAGTAGAAGCCTATTAAAAAGGGCAAAAAGAACATCTGGATTTTTAATGTGACATGCTACATGCCAAGCCTAATCATCCAGCAAATGAGAACACATTTAAACCTAAATTTTTCATAAAAGTTTTAGATCAAATAGAGAAGTATACTATACAATTCTGCAATAAAACCTAGTACCTAAATAGTAGTCAAATCTTTGAGAAACCAAAAACTGGAACTACGAATGTTCTAAATGACCTTTATCAAAAACAAAGATTAGCAAAACTGAATTATCTTGTACTACTGGATTAGGAAGGAAAGAATTCATGTTCTTTCAGTTAAATACAATTTTTGTTGTTGTTAATCTATCATTTATGTACTAGCTCTGCCATTTAGCATAGCATATATGAGTTTAAGCAAAACAATCTCTCAAGGCTTCTGCTTGTTTTATGTGCAAAAAAGCAGAATAATATCTGATTTACCTGCTTCACAGAGTCATAGAAATCAGACAAAATGATAGAAAATCTCTAAAAACTCATTCACACATAAGATAATACTTAGTCATCACTTTATATAACCTATTAAATTCAATTTCATCACTAAATATTTATTAGATGTTTTAAAAGGATTTTAATAATAAATAGTAAATAAATACTTCAATTTTTAATACTAAGTACTTGGAAAACAGAAACAAAACATTTAAAAAGTATTATTACTTTTAAAATTTATTAGGAAAAGAAAGCAAACAATAAGTTCATTCAAAGGTAAACACTAACTCAAAAAGCCTGAAACCCGGCTGGGGTTGTGGCTCAGTGATAGAGTGCTTGTCTGGCATGTGCAGGGCACTGGATTAGATTCTCAGCACCACATATAAATAAGTAAATAAAATAAAGGTCCATGAACAACTAAAAAGCTTTTTTTAAAAAGCCTGAAACCATGATAGTATTATTTTAATCTTGAATTTAAGCAGTACTTTTACCTTGTAAGAGTGTTGCAATCTGGAGAGATTTCTGAGATGGATGCTCTTTCAGAATATCTAAGACAGTTCTTCCTAAGCTATCCTTTATGTTGGCATCAATTCCTGAAAGAAAAAGGAAAACCCACCAGATATACATCACTAAAGGATCCTCACTATCGACACAGAACTGCTATAATTTCAAACATATATAGACCAAGCACTGTAGATGATTTTAAACAAATTAAACACACACAAAAATTAAGCTACCAAAGATTAAGAACATTCTTGATAATGACTTAACTCTCAAAGGTCACTAACCCAATGCTTAAAATCGCTTTTCAGGGCCCTATAATTTCTTTGGGGTGATAGCTAGTTAACCAAATAGTACACTATCAAACTGAAAAATATTATTGATTTATAATGACAATTCCTAAAGTATAATTGGTCATGTGATTTATACTGTATCATATGGTAAAAATATTTAATAAATAATAAACATATACTACATGAATATAAGGAGACTCTTATTCACAGAATTTTAAAAATATAATTATTTTGAACAATTGTCCAAATACTTTTTCTCCAATTACAAAGCCAAATACTCCCTGATACTTGTTTATGCTGGATTATGTTCAATGTCAGTCACACTCACCATTTACCTGAACAAACTTCTTGAACTGTATGACCAAAATAAAGTAATTAAATATTTTAGTTCTGAAAATATTTATTATAATAAAAAACATTTTAATGTAGCGAATAGTTTGCAGTATCCCAAAAAACTTTATGAACTTTTCAAACACCAAACTGCAAACAAATTCAATGTAGGATCTGGTCCCAGATGTTAGTTCATCATAAGATTATTAAGTATTTGCTTAAATGTGTGTTCAGATGTATGACCAGCGCTTATTTAATTGAGTGTCTCAAATTATTTATTATATCACTACACTGCAGAATCAAACTTAACTATGCATGAAATGTTAACTTTGTATAAAAGCACATCACAGTACAATAGTTAGTCAATGTTTTTCATTTTATTTTTTTTACAGAGGAAAATAAACATGTGATAGTCTATAACATGAATGACTCACATTGATGATTAAATATAAATTTGTAATTTTTCAAATCTTAAAAATATCTGACCTCAATTCAAAATTTATTTCATCACAATCAGAATATACATATGAAGATTAAAAAGCCTACTGTGCTATTCCTTCAAAGCACTGCCTCTAAAAGGTTCCCTTTAAATTAAGTCACAGAACCAACAAACAATTGCTACTCAGTTGATGAAGTAACTAGAAGGAAAATTTACCTTAAGGAAAGGGAACTCAAATCTCTGTTTCCCATAGTTCACACAAAAAAAAAAAACTAAGAGAAATATGATGTTCAACAAACCAAGCAAATTATTATAATTTCTCAGGGACCAATACCTTCTTCTTATAGAAAACAGAGATCTCTGTGTTAATTTCTCTAGTACATTTAAATGCAACTTAAATCTATAAAATAATAATTTCCAAGACCTTTTTAACGGATGCATCTATTGAATAAAAAAGTACATATTTATATCAATTTTATCTAAACACCAGAGGATCAATTCTACATCTCTGCAATTTGAAGAAAAGAAGAAGAATCATGAATAAAAATGTCACTTTCCTTTGTCTATTCCTGAAATAGAGTATTTGGGAGGACAGGCTCTATGAACCATGATAGCTACCTGTTTCTAACAGAATTCGCACAACATCCACCTTTCCAAACAAAGCTGCTTCATGAAGGGCACTCCCCTTTTCTGTCTGAAAAAAAAAGAAACCACAGTTACATTTAGAATGCTTAGACATTTTATTATTCTGTCATTTTATGTATTCATACATATTTTCTATATCTCAGCACTCCCTGACTAAAAGGCACTATGAAATAAAGAAGAATTACTAGAAACAAAATCCAAACACCTGAGTTTGGAAATTACCTCATCACGTCTGATCTTGTTATGTTAAAAAGAAACTCACCTTCTCTAAACCTCTATTGTATGCAAGTATAAAATAAAGGTAAGTAATGCTTATTGTACAAGGCTTTTGTGAATATCCACTGAGTTCATTCAATCACCATGGATTTATTAAATACCAGTTACATACCAATAACAGCTGGAGGATGTTCTTTAAGTATGGAACAATCATCCTGGCCCTCTTATATCCACATTCCAAGAGACAGATGCATAAGTAAATATTTATGACATATGAAATCTAAACAATTAAAGTGACTTACAAAATCTGGATGATGATCTCCAAGCTTTCCTCACCAGCCTCTCCTGTACACTAAAACCCTCTCTCAGACCTCATACTCTCTCCTCCTAGCATACTGAACTTAAGTATATTAGTGTCATTTTCTGTTTTCTTCCCCAAAGATCACAAATGCTGGTCCCTTCAACTGGCAGGATCTAACTCGTAACCCTCTTGATCTGGCCATCACCCAAACCACTAGCATGAATCTAGGGAGTTGGCACTGGAAAAAAGAATCTGCCAACTCATGTAAACTCCACCCAATTTTTTAACCAGTCACTCAAGGTGGGAGTATGAGTACAAGAGACAAAGTTTGAAGTTGAAGCAAGTTAGAAGGCTACAAAATCCTTGGTAAAAATAAAATTTTAAAGTTTCACAGAGGGAAGTTATAGAAATATCTACCTAGGTCTTAGGTCTAAGTGAAAGAGAGAGAAAGAAAGAAATGCCTGCTCCCTGCAAGAATTCCAAACACATTTCAATACTCACATAGTGAATGTGGGGCAAAAACACACAATTCCTATGATCCTCAGATTGTAAACCAAAATGTAGAATAACATGGTCTAAGATTTGTAGTTTCAATGGAAGATATAAATGCTTAGCATAAGATATAAATCTCTCTAAAAATATAAACTTTATTCTCAAGTCTCCAACAGATAAAACTCTAAGAAAAAAATTAAAAATTAGAAATCACTAAATTAAAAAGGAAACAAGCCATCGTGAGTAAGAATTAATAGAAACAAACAAAAAATAAAAATACTAAAGAACAAAACCCACAAAAACTTTACATACTAAAATAGTCAGCAACAAAATATAAAATATAATCAATATGGTGAAAGAACTAGAAGATACAAAACATGACTAAAGAACAAGATAACAATCAAATTTGACCAGATGTGAAAATTAACCAAATAGTAATTCTATAAATTGAAAATATAACATTTATAACAGATTAGTTTAATAATAGACAATATATAGCTCAAAAAAGGGGCTGAAATAGATGATATATTTTAAGTCTGTAATGCAATATAAAATAAAAAGGGAAAGAAATGTGAAAAGATAGAATGAGAAGATCCAACATTTGTCTAAACAGGAAATGATAAAAATAATTAATAGTCAATGGCTAAGAACTTTCTATATCGATAGTTCACTAATAGTTTCTAGTAATACTAAGAAAGATAAATTAATACAGCTCAGACATATCCCAGTGAAACTGCAAAACACATCTCAGTAAAACTATAAAACACCTACAATAAAGACAACATGTTAAAAACACCCCAAGAGAAAAAAAATAGTTGTCTAAAACGAAAATCAGACCTACAGCTGACTTCTCAATAAAGTCAAAAGAAATTATAATATCTTCCTGTAACAAGAGAAAATCACTGTCAATCTAGCATTCTACTTCCAGCCAAATTATCTTCCAAGAATGAGGGTAAAATAGCATTTTAGGCACATTAAAAATGAGTTGTGGATATGGACCTTTACTAAAAGAATTTCTATGTGATTTAAGTAAGGAAAAAGATTAGAAATACAAAAAGTAATGATGAATAAAGGGAATAATTAACTTAAGACAAAGTCTAAACAAACTATTATAACAATAATGTCTATTTTTCACAATAATTTGGTTCCCCAGATACTTAGATACAGCCCAGTATGAAATGAAAAAAGTGAAATGTACTATTCTATACATTGACTCTTCACCAAAAATTTAAATTTCTCTTTCTGGAAGAGGTAGATATAGAAGATCTCAATTCCAGTAGAAACTTGACTTTTAGTTGCTAATCTTTAGAAAAATCACTTAATATTTCTAAAAATTCATAAATCCAATGAACATAAATTTTTGAGGGTGGTTTTTTTTGGGGGGAGGGGTTCTGGGAATTGAACCCAGGGCCTTGTGCATGTGAGCAAGCATTCTACCAACTGACTATATCCCCAGCCCCACTATTAGGTTTTTTTTAATTGTTATTTACTCCAAATAGTTTAAATATGTCAAACTTATGGATTTTTCAAAACAGATTAA